TATTTTGTTTCTTTCTGTATTTTCTTTTATGTCTTTTTCTTTTCAGCTATTCCTCCTGAGCTTTATGTAAATTTTGTTATAATCCCATAATTGAGTTTGCTCCAAATCTCTTTCAGCCTGTAAAAATCTTTGTTTATGATAAGTGTAATACCAATGACGTTAATGCTCACGAGGCTCGGCAAGAAATACACACTCACTCATAATGTTATTATTATATACACACCATTCCAATGAAAACGGCAAAGTCAAATTAATTATATTTATTACAAACATTATTACAAAATGAATAATCACCACCACCACAACCATTCACATAACCAATTAGCACAATTTGATTTCTCCCAAAAAACTGGGAACAAAAATTTGTAAGAAAGGAAAAATAAAAAACGGCGATTGCGTTTGCATTAGCAAGCATTTCCACCGGTTGTAACACAATGGTTAAGTGCAGAAAACCAAGAACGTTTTCCTTCAACCTGCGACGTCGATCGCCTGAACCCTAAACCGGATCTTGAATACGATCCACTCATTAACCGGCTCTGCGGTTCGTCAACATCCGAACCACCGAGGCAGAGACTTGGAGGGAAACGATTGCAGCTAAGAGACCGAAACGATGATGATCCAACAGACTGCGAGATCCGAGAACCGTGTCTTGACACAACCGGTTTACAACTGTAGTGAGGGTCAGTGAGGAGAGCTGTGTCCAAGATCTCAGAGGAGCAAGTGCAAAAGGACAAGGAGATGCTTGTTCTTGATGAAGTTGTCGTTGCTGTTGCCATTGTGTGTGGAAGTTTGTTGAAAGAGACAATGCCGTGACGACACAGAGGACATGGCACTGAGCCTGGTGTGGCTTGTGATGTCTTTGGCGATGTTATGTTTGTGGTGCTTAGGTACAATGCACAGTTTGTGCAGAACTCATGACCACATCCTGTTACGTCACACACACGCACATAATCAAATTCAAAATGCTTTAAAGCCAAACTGGATTTTAGTAGTGACACTCAACACATTACCATCTGCTGCAACGGTGCATTTTCTTTCCAAACAAACAGCGCAAGGGTCACGGCATGGAGTGAGACAATCGTTTTCTCGCCAACCACATTCTCTGAAACCCACAAAAGAAAGCAAAACCAATCAATCTTAAGAGACTCTTTGAGTTTCAATTAGGTAAAAAGGATTACTTACTGTGCAATCTGGACAATGCTCATAAGAGGAAGGCAGAGGAAAGGAGAAGGGACTTTTGGGGGATGGCTTTGTGGATGCTCTGTGGTTGGATTCAGGACTTCTTCTAGCCAGTTCCGGTGCCATGAGCGAGCAACCATCATTGGCGTCCATCTATAAACCAAAACGAATCAAGACACTTCAGGTTTACATCAAACTGTTGGATTGGGATTTGCAGGCAGAGAGATAGAGAGAAGATCTAACCCGTTAGAGTTCATGGCGGCTAAACAGGCACCCTTCTCGATCAAAAGCTGAGAAAAACAAATGCCAAATGATCTCATAATCTGAGCTATCAGAGCTTTAAACTAAACCTATCAGTAACAACAACAAAACCGGATTGTTCGGCATCAGGATTGTCCGGTTAAGTATACCTGGCAACACTGTGTGTTTCCACCACATGAAGCATAATGAAGAGGTGTACTCCCAGCACCTTCAAGAGCCAAAGCCAACAAGAAACTACAGAGTTGAGTTTTTTAGCTTAAAGCACCCATTGTTGTATAGTTGGGGGATATAAATAAATGATAACCTATAAGGTCTATTGTGGTTCCATCTTCCACAGTGACCTGAGTAACAGAAGCTCCCAAATCCAAGAGTAACTGCACCGTCTCTATGTGACCATTCAGAGCCGCCACATGAAGAGGTGTGATTCCTCCATCTGCTGCTCTGTTTATCACTTCGTGAAGAACACTGCACACACACATTCAAATGTCTTTTTTTTTTAACTAATCATGTCACTGAACCCATCAAAGCTTTAGAAACACTCTTCTTGTTTTACCTTGGATCAAATCCAGCAATTGAGGATTTATTATTCTTCAAGAGGCTCCAGCAATTGGGAACACTTGGTATGTACTCTGAAAGCAAGATCCTGATACACCGAGGGTGACCATTTAGAGCCGCCAGGTGCAGAGCAGTACCACCGTTTAAGTAATCTGATCTGTGAATCTAAAAATCATGAAACAACAATCATTATCTCAATCCTCAGAGATCATCACATTTTAAGAGTTTAAATCAAATGCTTACATTAGCACCAAAGAGAATCAGAATCAAAACAACCTCCCAGTGACCATGTTGACAAGCTTGCATCAAAGCCGTCTGTCTCCAACATATTTGTAATCAGATTTTACTTTGATGGATAAAAGAAACAGAACAGCAAGTGAAAACAGCTATTACCTGTCCACGGTAGTTCCGGAGATTAATATCAACTCCTGATTCCACCAACAGAGAAACTATCTGAAGAACAACAACAAACCCAAATCAGGATCATCATCATCACCATTAAAGTTTGAAACTTTCAAATGATTGATCTTTCAAAATTGGGAATTTGAAATTGTGGAGTTACCTCGTGGTGGCCTTGAGCGGCGGAGTAATGGAGAGGAGAGTTACGAACGCCGAAAGTGGAGTAGCGAGCGAGTCTTGGGTTGTAATCTAAGAGAGCCTTGGCTTCCTGCAAATCGCCGTCTCTGGCCGCTGATACTAAGCGTTCGCCGGACGCGGAGCAGCCGAATGAGTTGCCGACGAGGCTCAGAAACCTCATCGTTTTATGAAAAAAAACTGAAATTTTTGAATCAGATTCACGCGGAATTCAACATGAACCCTAACCGATCATCATCACCAAGAATCCTATTGGATGGATTCCCTAATTGTAGCAAATGATCGTTGAAAATATTAAAAGAAACCCAATTTCAAAATTCAGCTCCAAAGATTAAGAGGTATATACAGTAATCTCCCAATCGAATACACCTACCTGATCGAGATTGAATTCAATTCAAATGATTAACAAAAAAAAAAAGTGGATTTTTTTCTCTTTGAATTTTCTTTGGTAGTTCTTTAATTCTCTCATGTACAGATCATCATCATCATCATCCCACTTTTGGAAAGATGAAACTTTTAAAAAATTTAACAAAAATTTGAGAATTAAACAAAACAAATTAAGGAAAGTTCATCAAGAAAAACCTCTATGAAAATGGTAATCCTGACGAACATTAAAGAATGGAGAAATTGATTGCAAATATTGATTTTTTTTTGTTTTTAATATAAAAAACAACAAATTGGCGATTATTTTTTTAAAGTATTTCAAACCAAAAAAAAGGGAAAGAATTGATCTCTCTAATTTTTGTGTTTTTTTCTTTCTTTTTTTGTATGAAGGATTTTCTAATATTTGAGATGGTGAGCATAAATGAAATTATTCATAAATTGACTTTTTATATATTTTTTCTATCAATTACAAAAAAAAGTGACAAAACGCAAAGAGGAGAACGCTGTGGCCAGAGATTTCGTCCATACCGACAAACTGATCACCGGATTTCCCGCGTTTCCTTTTTAACCAAAATCTCATAATTAAAGATTCACTTACAAAAAAAAAAGACATTCTGTCATTCATATTCACCCAAAATCCTGAAGAAAGCATTTCCCAATCTTTTTCATATAAAGAAGTAAATATACTGTACGTGTAAATGTCGTAAAAAAAAAAACTGTACGTGTAAATAAATGACTAAAAAAGGCTCCTTTTTGTCAACAAATAATTCATTTATCAAACTCTTCAAAAGTAACATGAGCTTGTTAAAAAAAAAACATGAGCTTAATGAAAACAAATGTATAAATAATTAAAGGTGGAGTGGAGGAGCATGTGGGTCGTGTCACGTTATGGGTATAATTGCATTTGCATAGCAAACCTATCATTAAGAAGACTAATCCAAAACTCCAACTATTTATGAGTTGGTTTCTTCTCAAATCTCCTTCATCATGTATGGATACTAATGCATGACTTTGAGTATCGAAAGTTCGAAACCAATGATCATCCCACTCTCTACGTTTAATTAACTCTTTAGTCTTTACAGAATCCAACAATACATATCTTTAAGCCCTTCGCATTCCACACAAAACGGATTAACAAGAATATGTGAATCGAGTTTTTTGTTTATAACAAGGCGGATTAATAACAAAGCAGGCACTTGCAAGTTTACAGAAATTTAATTTAAGCATTCACTCTCTACACAACATTTGCAGATGCACTTAACAAGGCCCATCTACTATGAAGCAGGCCCATCATTTTGACTCTCGTTTATTTTGACTCATTTTGACGATGTCAGGATCACAAACGGCTCTTTAGGAGTTTGAGAGCATTAGTTTTGCAATTACGTAGTCAGGATCACCCATTTGTACTATGGCTCAGTGTAGGTGAATGAACTAATTCGTCACACTTTTTCGCAGCCATTTACATTTCATTCATCCAATTGTTTTTCGATTTAATTTGTTATTTTCATTCCAAGAACAAAAAAATGTGTAGTGGTACGGATTTTAGTACTAGTAATCACGAGTGTTCGATTATTACTCCACTCACTACCTTTACTCTCTCATATCCGCAGCTAAAAATCCCTAATTTACACTCTCTTTTTCACTCAAGTCTCAGAGTTTGTTCGTCGCCGTCGAAACCATGACCGCCGGAACCTTGACCAGCGAAGTCGCCGGTGAGAGCTCTCTCACTATCTCTTGCTCGAAATTGTTTGTCTAGATTTCATATAATCGATTCTGAAATAGTAAAGCTTAGGGATTTCTCTAATCATAATGTTACAGTACTATTCACCATCTAAAGTTTTCGTTCCTTCCTTTTTCCTCATAGCGATTGGTTTTCGAAATTGTTCGTCTATATAACTGGATTATGTTTTTATCTCATAATAATCTAATCAAATCGGCAATGTATTCAGGAATTTGAAGTTTTCATTTTTCGTTTTTTGGTATTTGACAGAGGCAGAGACAATTGTCATATGGGACATTGAAGGTTGTCCAATCCCGGATGGTCTGAATCCGAGTATGGTTTCGCAAAACATCAAAACGGCGCTTGTGAATGCTGGTTATCACGGTGCTGTCTCTATCAACGCCGTTGCTGATGACACAACCAGTCATGTGACTGCTGATGAGTTTGAATCAGCCGGAGTGAAGCTCACTCTCGTACCCGAAGGTGAATGAATAAAATGATTCTTGATTTAACTTATTACTGTATGTATCTTGATTTTTACTTGTATATATATGAATCTGATATGTGGTTTTCAGGAATGAAAGGAAAGGCACATGCGAGAGCTCGTGCGATGCTATTAAATGTCCTGATGGGCTGGATATTCAAGCACCAAGAGTCAACGAATGTTATGTTCATATCTAATTTCATCAGGAGCTTCGGAGTTGGCAGTTATGCAAGTACAAGGCTTAATGTTCTTGTATCACAGCCTCAGATCCCATCACCGGAGCTTGTTTGTGACGTTGGCGATGCGAGGAGTATATGGAGTTGGGAAAATCTGTCAGCTGGAGGAAACCCTTACGAGCAGAGCTTCTTAGGCGTCGACACTTGTCACTGCTGTGGAGTCCGCATCACACAAGAGGTGCTTCTTAGGCATTGAAGTAGAGAAACAAACCCAATAAAGATGGGAAGTTAGCTTATTTTAGGGTCTTCTTTTGTTTTCGCTAGTTTATTGAACTTTGTCAGGTTTAGTGTTCATACTCTTGCACTCGACTCGAGTGACTTGAGCCTAACTTTATCTTCCGACTGTATCATGGCCAAACTATTTGCCTTTCTTTATGTTATCTTTAGTTCTTTCGTAGTCTAAATCTTAAAGATTGAGAAACTAAGAAATAATAACATTAATGTTCTTTCGTTCTGTAACAGCCGAGTCCGAAGCTCTTGCTTACTCCATTTTTGCTATAGATCGTCAATAATCTATAATGTTTTGACTTTTGACCACAAACTAACGCAAGTTTTGGGTGCAAATGCTCTAAAAAAAATGTAGATTTCCTTTTGGAAATGTTGACTGTTTGTATTAGAACAACGTGTGACCTATTCAGTTATTTGTATGAAAAAATAGCTGGCTTTTAGTGCTACGAATTAATATATAAACACAGTAATGACATCAAGTATGTAAGATAAGGAAAGGAAAAATAAAGATTTTTAACAACCCAAATGTGAATTGTTTCGGTACTTCAGGCTTCTCTATATATATCTCTGCTCAAATTTTCAAAAAGTCAACTTGTCTAAATATATCTGAGTTCCAATTTCTTAAAAGTCAAACCTATCCTGTTTATTCTAATTTTCTCATTTGACTTGTCAGTCTCTAAATGCCAAGCCAAAACACATAACTGACCTCTAAATGCCACGTCAAAAACATAACTGATCTCCAAAATGCCAAGACAAAACATAACTAACTTTTTTTGTATTAAGGCGGTTTTTTGTTTGTCTTGCTGAACAACAGCAGATACATCTCAATGTTTGTTGGATTTGATTGTGTTTGTATTTGAATCATCTCCCTCTCACCAGAACCTTTCTCAAGCAAACAATGGATGAGAAAGCTGATACCTTTCTCTCTGTTTCATCAAACCCTTATTCATCTTATTATCCAACAGACGACAACTTTGACCTGAACAACACGTCGTTCCGTCATCCCACCTTACTTCTCTTTTTCTGTCTCCTCTCCGCCATCTTGTTCGTCTTTATTTTGCTTCACCTTCTCATCAGATTAATACTCAGACCCACAACAGAGCTTGACGACGCCTACGATGAAGGTAATAGTAATACATTACAAAAGATTTGATTTTTATGGGTTTTAGTTTCTCTGGCCTCTGTTTTGTTGATATCTCAATCTCTATTTTGGCATTACAGAGAATGCTACTGTTCTACACGGTCGGCTACAGACATTTCTCAATATCCGTAGCTCAGGAGTTGACCAATCCTTCATCGATGCATTGCCCTTGTTTCATTACAAGACCATAATTGGTCTTCGCCACGACGTCCCCTTTGATTGTCCTGTCTGTCTCTCCGAATTCAAACCGGAAGACGAGCTCCGGCTCTTACCGAAATGCAGCCATGCATTTCACGTGGACTGCATCGACAGGTGGCTCCTCACAAACTCGACATGTCCTCTCTGCAGAGACGATCTCCTCCTCGGCCTTACCGCTTCTTTCTCCCCTGATGTTCTTCTGGTTGAGTCTATTGGTGAAAGTTTCCAAGACTCTGGTTCGCATCTCGGTTCGACCCGTTTCGATGATATCCGGACGATATCAGGTGAAATCTCGGATCAAAACGATGAATCCAAGCCAGAGAATGATGAAAAAGTTGTTCTTGTTAAGCTAGGAAAGTTCAAGAACATTGATACAAATAAAACAGAGGACAACAACAATGGTGGCATAAGAAGATGGTTTTCAATGGGAGATATTGAGTATGTAATGCCTGAAGACACTTTCTTGCAAATTCATGTAGCAATGAAAAAGAAGCAGCCTGTTTTGTCTCAAGGTCCAATAAAATCGGTATTCATCGAAAGGGCAAATCATAATCGAAAGGAGAATTTTTCCATACCTAAGAAGACTTGGCGAACAAGTTTCAATGAGATCAGGGGTTTGGCGGGAAGAAGGGCCTACTCTTTTAGGTTTCCGGCGAAGCTGAGTGGCTCTGGTGATGTTGGCATGGGTTTGGCGGGAAGAAGGGCCTACTCTTTTAGGTTTCCGGCGAAGCTGAGCGGCTCTGGTGATGTTGGCATGGCGAAGGATGATAATTATTTGGCGACATCGGATACTAATAGTCATTCTTTTACGAGAAGTAATGTGTTTTGGTCTTTCTGGGGGCAAGAAAAAGTTTCGAACTCTTCTTTCTTTGCGAGTGATTGTGTGGTTTGCTTGGAGATGAAACACATTACCTGATGCAGAATGAATGTACAATAATTTTGAGATGGATTATGATATTGAACAGAGAGTCTTTATGTGGAATCTTATTTAACATACCGTTAAAATAATTTAGAATTTGAGAGAAATATTTTTGAGCTACACTTGCTTTCATTTTCAAACTGATGTGATTAGTTTGAATTTTGATATTATCTCTAGTGATGGGCCTAATTGGTTCAACGTCAAAGCTTGTAACCTTGTAACCATGCGGCCCATTCTCAATCTCAATGTATTGGTTGCGAACCATTCTGGAATTTAAACAACAGTAATGGCACAACACAATGCAAAACATGAGGACCACAAACAGATACATTGAATATTAAACATTGCAAGGTTGGATTGGCAGAGACAGGTTCAGTGGTTATGGCCTTGATATGGGTTCCTTGTCTCCTTTTCACTGTCAAAATTTTTTTGAGACAACTTGTTTTGTTCCATATCTTTGCCATCTTCACAGTTGTTTCTATATATATATGACTTCGTATTAGTCCGGAGTGCAAGAAGTGATGAAGATGGAGAAGTGCAAGAAGGTCAAGCACCAAAGTCGCAAAGGAAGAAAGGAAAAACTGAAGTGTCGAGAAACTTGCATGAGAAGAAACCTCGGCATTCTTCGTAGGATTGTACCAGGTTGTGAAGTGGTGGACGACGAGGAAGCCTTGATCCTCAAGTCAATTCAACATCTCATGCTTCTCAAATCTCAGGTTACTTTTCTTAGAAAGCTAGCTGATGTATGTGGTGTCTAAAAGAACGTAAGTTCTCAAGTTGTTTATGCATCATATTATATAATAAAATCAAGCAAGAGAAGCATAAGAAACAGAGGAGATAAAATAAAGTAAATTACATAGAGAAATTGAAGAACAAAACGAGAAATCTTTTTAGTTTTTGTTGTAGAAAGTGAGATCGTATTTTGTGCGGAAGGTAGAAGAAGAGGGAGTGAGCATGTGTTGGATCGTTGTGACCCATGTCTTGTAACGACTGTAATCATCGGCCATGTCTAGTTTGATAGATCCTCTGTTCGTCCTCAGGACAATGAGATAACAAGTGTCTTCTATGTTGTTGCCATCGCTGCTCTCCGAATCTTTATAAAGTTCCACATGAACATTCGTCACAATACCTTACAGAGAGCACAACCAAAACACTAAAAAGTTTTAAATATCTTAGCTTGAAGGTTAAGTATAAAAATGATTAGAAAAGCTAGCTGCATACTTTCTTTCTTAGTCCTGAGTAGGTTATGTTTCTTCATTTTAAGAATCACCTGCGTTACACAAACCCAATATCATCAACTAGTAGTCGTAATTAGGTTAAGAGTAATGAGGGGTCAGATCCAAATTCAAACCTTTCCGTCTTTGTTTAACATCATAGACACTTTCATAACCTTGAAATCCCCTGTTTCAGTCATAAGATAGCCATATCTCATTAGTTTCCACAGAAACAGAAGACTTCTACATTAAAACACCCCAAAAACAGAGGATTTATATATATTACCATCTGGTGTTTCGACGAAGAGATCCGTTCCCTTAGCAAGAAGGGATGTGTTCTTGTCGAATTCAGGAGGCAAATCAGAGGAGTCTTCAATAGGCAACACAGGCGCAGAGCCATTCAATCTATTGATTTTGCAACTTCTTCTTGCTTTCAACGTCGCAGCACCTCTCAACGCTTATTTATACCAAACACCAATGAATAAGAAACAGAGCACTCTCTTAAAAAAAAAAAACCAAAAGGTAAAAACTTTGTCTTCTTACAAGTTGTAGCTGAGGCAGTGAGTGTTAGTATCTCACTGACACTTGTTCCGGTCATGGCGGAACCAATCATTGTGCTGAGCTGGTCTCTGTTTGCTCCCATTGTTTCCGCCATCTGCGCACACTGCGCAGCCACCACAGCCGCCGCAGAAGCCACTGCAGTTTCCTTCTTCGTCGGTTGACCGTTGTGACCGCCTTTCCCGGCGTTCTCGGAAGCTACGGCGGCGAGAGCGGCGGCTAGACCAGCCAAAGACACAGCGGCGTGTACTTCAGCTCTCTGGAGCCTCACTTCTTCCTTTCGTTTCTCCTTTATCTCTTTCCACCATTTCTTTATTTTCGGCGTAATATTCTTCCATGGAAGTTTCTATAAATAAACTCATATAGTTGTTTTAGTTTAGAAAGAACCAATAATGTTAATTTTAAGATCAAAGCAAACGAAAGGGCCTAAAGGGATTTACTAGTTTCTTGCTGAAAAAGCCTTCGTAGCTCAGTTCCGGGTGCATTGCTTGTTGCATCCATATCCATGACTGTTCACATCATTCAACAAAACATATTGTAAAATTTGTTATGTTTTTGTAATTTTTTAAGAAAGAAAAAGCTTATTTTAACACAAAATGTTTACCTTGACATCGTTGGTTTTCCACGAAGGCATCGGTGGCTTAAAATCTGGATCGTCCATTTTCATGCTCGTATTCATCTTCTGTTTTCACAATCGTCGTCAATAATTAAACACTAACCAAAAACAACTTGAAGAAATAATGACTTAAAAACCTGAGTTACTTACAGCACAAGACACAAGACTCAAGTTGTCTTGAAACTTTGCGATCGATGTCTCGACAGGGACAATGGAACGATCGTAAATGATAGGGTCGGGCTGAAGTGATTGAACAGCAAAATTACACCATTCCCGAGACAGAAAGTCCATAGTATCTGGATGTGCCTCTGAAGGCGATGGATTGTTCTTCAACTGATGATGATCTGTTGATGTTAATGCTAATGATAGTTCCATAGTGTTTTTTTAGAAAAATGGGATTCAGAGATTGTGACTTAAAGAATTTGTTGATTGATCAAATATTTATGTTATTGGTATGAAAGAAGGAAATGATTAATTAGTTTTAATTTTTTAGTCTGGTGTGGGTTCTACCTTATTATCTTCTTAAAAAAAGGTTTGATGGAGAGCATCATTTCCATGGGTGGGAATGATTTGGGCCATGATCAAAGTGATTATTGTTGGATCACATTTTCTTTTTATATCAAAAAGGATATGGAGGGTTAGTCTCACCTTTAATTTCCTATAGTAGTAGTTAACCAAAATAAAATATGGATAGCTTATAGTCTGTAAACTTGCTTTGATTCGGATTCAAATATATATGAGAAGATGAGACTACATCATTGTTATAGAGATGTACAATGCTTACTTGAAAATACTTTGTGTTGTTGGAAAAGAGGAAACGAATTGACGTGGTTTGAATTGATATGTTAACCATAATAGCTAATTGAATTTATCCGAGAGGAAATGCATAACTAAATTGCTATCATCATGGAAGCAAAATTATTGACAACAATGAATTGGACCCTCTTGCATCTCCTTTTCATATATCTTTAAATGGAAACCATAAGTTCAAGCTAAGCACTATTTCTATATATAATATCTAGGCCTCTTTGCCACTTTTCACTCATTCATTAGTGATCTATAGCTGGATTTTTATTCCGAAATTCTTATATGTATTTGATGTAGAAATTGAAAACAAAAAAGTCTTTAACTAAATTAACATGTTTTGGAAAACGCAAATGTATGCTATAACTATAAATAATGTACGATATCATTTGATTGTAGAAGTATAAAGTTCAAATACTAAAAGGTAAGAGAGTTGTACAAGCTAAACTGAAAATTATGCTAGTGGCGCTACTTATGATCTCTAACTTCATTTTCGCTTGAGAAGGACGTCAATTTTTTCAGGATATATCATAGGCATTAGGCACGGTCCCTGGTTAAAAGAGATTACGGGACCAAAGTGAAACTTCCTCGATGAAAAAAAAAATGAAAATGATCAAAGATCTAAAAATGCAAATATACTTAATCGTATGGAAAACGACATTGTATAGATAGATAAGAGGCCCACTAGTCATACACAAGCATGCAATGGGTCTTAGGCTTAGTACTAAAAAAAGGGGTCTTAGGCTTTTAACTTTAACGAACAAGGAAACTAATCCCTCAACTATTTAATCAATACTAGTATATACTTTAAAACTAATTAATCATTACTTAAGTAAATGTTTATTAACTAATAATCATTTCTTAATGGTTTTAAGTTTCTTTTCCATATTCAAATTCGTGTGTTTATCAAATCAAAGAATGGTTTAGTTAAAGATGTCATCATTTGATCATGTGACTCACTTTAAATGCCAACTGCCAAGAGATTTGTATGCGTGTACCGACAGAAAGAGAATATAGCTTATAAATTGCAGGTTAAACAATTAGTAACAAATTAGGCATATCAAGATGTCGTCAATTTATTTAGAGTCAATGAATCCAACTGGCCGATCTGAAACCACTCGAGTATACTTGTGCCAACAACCTAAACTGTTTTCTTCCAGTACTAAAAGCATCATAATTTTATGTCACTTTTGAGGTTTTTTTGCAACGAAAAACAGCGACGAAAATAGGCCGAAACTTAACCCACACATCAGCCCATTATAAGCCCAATTAAGTGAGTATCGTTATTATTACGAGAAACTTGTTTTTCCCGGCCATTACAAAAGAAATTTTAAAAACTCCATCTGGTTCGAGAAACCAATGCTAACGTTTTGAGAGGTCCACAGAGAATGTTCCTTGGTTCGTAGGTTTTGACACAAACTATAATTATCATAGAGTGATTTAATTTATAACTGATAATTCGGGTCCTCATGAGCCTTCTCCAACCAATAAACTGTAAAATGATGATAATATGCATACAGCATACGTATCTAAATTAATCTTGAAATTTATAAAGTTTGAATCACATTAAGGAAAAAAAGTTCTTAGATTCTGTCCAAATTTAGAAGCTCCTTTACAAAATTAAGTAGTGTATTAGTTGTAGAATTTCACGTTTTGATAAGTCTGAATATTGTATCACCTAAATTACAACCTCATTGCAAACAATAGATAGTAAGGTAATACAATGCTACGTACCACGCTAAAACACTATTCAAGTGGCCTTCGAAAATATCTATAGAATAACCCATAAATTTAAATTAAACAAGTATAGTACTTCACTTCGAAGGTTGTTATATTATACGGCAGTTATCCTAGAAGGCTATATGTGTACTGTACATGGACTTACTATAAAAATCATTAGCTGCTTCATATTTACAAGATTGCGAAATGCATGCACATTTGACATTTATATGTTCCTACGGTCTTTCGGTATGTCTACGGCGACTGAATCAACGGCTGCGACAGCTCGCATAACGTCCACTTGCGCTCGGAGATGGACAATGTAATCAAGTGTCTCTCTTATCAAATACTCGTTGTCCTCTATTAACTTGCCTCCCGGTACTAGAGTCTTGAGCAACTCCGTACGTTTTCTCACCCCAAATTTCGCCGTGAAATTACCATTTCGTCTAAGAGTAGTGCAACGATTCTTGATCCGATTTCGAGCTTTTTTTAGTATTCGACGAGCCACAGGTTTGTTGGTTGTCTTGTTTCCGGTCCTAGAGATGAGAGCGCGGCTCCATATGGTTGCGCCGCTTCTAACTTCTGCGATAGCTATGTCCGATGATAGTCTTATCGCGTCTTTCCTCTCCGTAACGCTCGTTGGATGTTCAACAGAAGAATCTAACATGTTGAGAGTAGTTATCCAATTCTTGATAAATTCTTGCTTAACCATGTTATACGTGTTCATCCTAAGAAAAAAAAAAAAAACACAAATGAATTACATATACAATATACAAAAAAAGGAAATAAATCATCGGAAAACAAACATTTAGATTGTATATTATAAGAGCATATTATGCACTTATACCTTCGTCGTATTATATCCGTCTATATATGAACGGTAGCTCAAGAAGTACTTGTCATTAATTAATGAAATAAGTAAATAATTACCTTAAGCTTGTTCCTGTTTTATTATATGCAAGCTAGCTTCGGTTGTATCTGAAATTTAAACCCTAGAAAGAAATGAGGGAGAGAGGGGGAGAGATTAGATTGATGAAGAGGAGAATAAATAGAGGAAATGAGAGTGTGGAGGGCATTTATTGGATCAAAGGAAAATAAAGAGTGGGGCTAAGAGAGAAAGACAGAGCACATGGACGCACATGGCTCAACGTACCCTACTCTTCTCTCCAACCCTAAATACCATTTATACTCATCTTCATTTAAGCTTCAATTATTTTTGGTCCTTTTTTAGAAATTAAAACCCATCTTCTTTATCTTATGTATGTATACTCTATTCATAAACCCATAAATTAAACAGTAGTTCAATCCAACATTCGGTTTCTATTATCGAATTGTACTACACCAGTGCGATTGGATTCACGAATACTGTATAATTTCCCTTGTTACAAACTTCCAAAGCTGTATGATTTGATTAATTTCACCAGACTTTAGGAAAGTAGAGCAACTAGCTAGTAGAATTATAATTAGAGCAAATTATATATGTTTATGAGGAAATCTCTAGATAAGAGTATAAATATGTCAGTATAATAAGTTTAACGAATGATGTAGGACTGTTATCACGAGTTGAAATTATCTCATTTTTACGGATGATCATAGAAAAAATAGCATGAGCCCATTACCTCTCAAGACTTTCATGCAAAGGACCTACTCTACGGAAAAATGTAAAATCAGTTGAAATACTTGTCATTTTTTTCCACATGGCTTCGATGGACGTCTTTTTTTTCTTTTGAACGTCAAAATACTTGATTTAAAAACAGACCGGTTACAATAGAGTTTCATACATTGGACCGACAAATGAAACCTGTCTTCTCGCATTCTTGGCAATTGTATCGGCCAAATTGTTTTCCGATATGGGGATAACATTGAAAGAGATGAAGAAGAACATTGAGGCAAGATTGTGCACAACGAAGAGGATCCCATAGATCTCTTTGATTTGCTCCTGCGAGTTAATAGCTCGGATGAGATCCTGAGCGTCACTTTTGATGTGGAGTGAGGTGATTCCCAATTCCAGTGCGTGGTTTAAGGCAGATCGGATCGCAATTGCTTCTGCGATCATCTATTTATATATTTTGAAAATTGTATATAATCTAGACAATAATAATACTCTGTTCCTACCATCCAAATATCTACTTGTTGTTTCACGGTCTAGCATTACGAAATATTGGATTCGATTCAACGCTATGTTTACTAATTGTACATAGAAGACTTTTCAAAACTCTATGTTTACTCACTTAATTGAGTATTCTAACGAGAATAATTTGGGAGTTATGTAACACGCGCGGACGCAGTCACACAGCGATAAACAAGAGGACGTACACACGTGTATGGGGCCGTAATGCTCTTTCAAAGGCCTTCTTCCTTCTTATTAGTCAGCCCACTGCTTCCTCCTTTCTGTGTAAACTGTGTATACATAATGTATATGTAACTCTTTGGATGTGAGTTTTTTTAAAAACAAATGTTAAGAGTTTTTTTTGGAACAAATGTTAGATGTCTGAATTATAATATTATTAAGTCATGAAGTGTATGGGCATGTGGCAAGAAAGATCATCATTAATTGTGTCTCTGACTTTATACACATATACCAAAAGCACCATTTTGGTGAGCACATATAATATAGAATTTTCGCTGTATTATTTCTTTTTTTTTTTCTTCTAGAAAAACATCTAACATTTACTACTAAAATATCATAACAGTATAGTATTTTATATAGAAGGGGAAGATTTCGAACCAGGGTTAGGAACAGGATACGACATTCGTGCACAACAATTAATTAATTGTTGGAACCTCTCGTACATTTTCCACAAAAAAAAATCAAATCCCTTTCTTGTTCTCATATCTCGAGTCGACTGTCGCGGTCATACCTTTATTTTTTAAAAACAAGGGGTCGCGGTCATATATTCATTTATATAATTAGCTATTATTGGTTCTTGATTGTGTTGTTGAAAGGCATCTAATGTTTTGGATCGTTTTATCTTGGAACCTCTCACTCTAAGGCGATAATTAACATGGAAGAACCTCTACTTATTGGACCGCATATATTCATATATATTCTAAACGGAATCACGGATTATCAAATACCATTCAAGTCAAGTCGACTATAATCACTTAAGTTCCAAAAAAAAAAGTTCCAATTACAATCACCAAACCACATAATTAATCGTTTCGTATTAGATGATTACTTTTTTGGGTCTAAATGTTAAGGTAGATGATTACATTTTTTGTTAAGCTTATTATATACTTATGAATATTATATAGGAAAACGTTCGATATGATCATATATATAAACGCGGTGAAAGCTCCATGCACGTAAAAAGATTGCTCACAATATCACAAATACAATTCACATAAATACATTCAAATTGTAGCGTCGGCGTCATAATTTACGACATACCAAGATGATTTTTTTTTTTGACAACACCAAGATGATTAATTAAGAAAATATTTATAGAGAGAAAATAGACGTTTAATCCATAACTATACCGTTGCTTCGTTTATTTTTAGCCACGTGTATATATGTGGATCCTCGATCTAGAGACCACATACGGAAGAAATGCGACGAAGGAGTTGGATTTTTGCTTGGAGTAGGAAAATGTGATCAGCCGTGAGACGGTAAAGTGTATCACCGTCAACTTCACCGGGAAAACTTGTTTCGGGAGCAACCATTCGCCGGAGACGGCTCGTGAGCTTCCTTGAGCTCACATTAACCGTTACTCTCTTTCTTCTTCGACTATGAAGTGGTCTACACCTCATCCTTTTGCACACGAACTGTCTTCTTCTTCGTACGTGTACGATATCGTAACAAAATCAAGCGAGAGAGAGAGAGAGTGGTTAAATTCTTAGAGAGATGATATGTTGATTGAAGAACAAGAGACGATGTGTTTTTATAGATAAGTTGGATGAAGATGACATGAATAACTCTCTCACGCTTGATACACGACCAGTCCACGTATGCACACGTGTATGGATTTATAGCAGCATGGATAATATAACTCAAATTGATGGAAAAAAAAACTCATCATATTCATGGTATATTCACTCACACGCGATTATACTTCAATAACATTATTTCTCTTTTTTCTTATAAAAAAAAGATCGAACACTGATTAGCTAGCTAGGGCATTGGCTGAATTCAGAAAACAAATTCAAATATGCATGTGAATTGAAGTTCATGTCTTCTTTTGTTTTTTTTCTTGACACTTAACAGAGTTAAATATTTTTTTTTAAAATATGCCTTGAGATGATAGTTTTTTGTTAAAGTGTAAATTAAATTAGAATCATGTTTTTCCTCTAAAACTTACACAAGATCGATCAAATATCAGCTTGAGACGATTCTCTCGATCTTCACATATAAAGGCTAAAAAGAAATGGTCTCATCAAGTTATAAATTATAAACTATAGCATCGAAAAGTTTTATATAGACAATGGTGATGGTTACTACATGATGTTGTGTCTTGAAAACATGTGAATGCTGATTGTATAAATTGTTGTTGCTCGATCGGTTGATGAAATAATACGCGGAATAATTAATATGTAATTAATTGGTCATGCATATACGACAAAAGTGCAACCGTATTGACCAAAACCCATCCATAAGTGGATAGTTATTCGGAAGACTATGAGTCGGTCCACGTTCTAAGCTTTGCCTCCACAGGCCAACCAACAAATAATTCTAATACTTACAAAAGTTATATTAGTAACACATTATTGATGATTACTATTTCAACAACAGACTACGTTGTATGGGTAGATTTCTCCTCAAAATAATATCGTACGTATATCAGAGACTGTAGAACTGTACTAGTCAATGGTCATAGAGACTAGCGGATAATGATGAAGAGTAATGCAATTAAATGGATTTATTGGCTTAACCAATCGAAACTTGAATTCTTTTCTTTAGTGTACGATGGTGATATTTCTGACCATCTGAAACTGGAAGAACAACATATATATATATAAAAAAAAACATATATAAGTATATAACTCAGGTTGTGCATATAGTTTCGTAACATATGGCTACACTAATCATTCGCAGTATGTCTTAAGCAATTTGAAAAGTGTTAATCACAATTCCTAAGAAAAACAAAGATTTACACTTGCAATTAAGGATATCGGGCCTTTGCATAGTATAACCCATGTGTGGTGGCACAGTGATTATTTATCTAGGGTAGGATGTAAACTCGCTACAACCTTAAAACCGATTCTGATGAAAATGAAAAGCATTTGTTTGTCCATTAAATACTAATTTACGCTATAAGCTTTGAACGTTCTTATAAGGTGAGTGAAGACTATTATCACTAGACCAGATTAATAAGAAGTTTAAAGTCCAAAAACTCATGTTTGCCCTGCTTCTACTCGAGGTCCGGCTTTAATGTGGCCACTACTAAGTCTGAGTATTTTGCCCTTCATGAATTTACAAAAAGACAGAATCGTTCATGGATAATAGCAGGACGACAAGCATTCTAAAGACCAAAATTTTAGAGTAGAGACCATTATTATCAAGTCCAGAGCACAAACATGGTCATCCAGTTTCTAAAAATTATTTAATCTTTACTAGGTATACAAACAAATATTTGGATCCCTATAATCCCAAATATACGATGCTAGATCATAAAAGAAGAAACAATGCCACTGTTGAAACGCTCTGGATTATCAAACATATGAATTAATTTGGGTAAATTTGATCAACACTAGCCGATAGATGCATAGAAAGAACAACATTTTAATAAGGACACTACACACAAACGGGCAACGGCCGTATATGTCAAGAAAATATAAATATGGTGACTGGTGAGTGAAGCCCATGCATGCATGTCTCTTCTACATATAAAAAGACACATTACGTCTTTTTCTTCGCTGAGTTGTTTCCCCGCTCTATATAATTCTCACCACCTTAATAGTAATTAAAAAAAAAAACACTAATAGGAGATTACGATTTTGCGGGTGCATGCACATACACGTGTGTTTGTCCACATCTATATATGATCTCTAGCTAGTTCCAAATACAATAATCTCCGTTTTTCTCGGGGACTCATGTGCATGCTCCAATACGATTGTGTCATATAATAGACATATCCCATTTGTGTATTACATTATTGTTTCGAAAACAAACTAGACTAGGGACTTTGTAACATTGACAGATATGATGTTACTTTGATTTCGATTGCAATAATGAAGAAAGTATTATGTATATACACGCAAGTACGCAACGCATACATATCAATACTACTACTATAAAGCTTTCTTGCATGCGTGTTTGGAGTTGACAGATGGGAAAGGTCTGCTATGTGGGACACGTAAATTAAATGCATCTCACGTGCGCACGATCTCTACTTGCTTGTTACCTCTTTCTCCTCTCTAGCTTCAGTCCTTATCACCATTTTCACAATCCGTATTTCGATCCTAGCTACTATTTTACTTTCAACTCCTATTTTCTTTTTAACCATTATAACAAATTCTTCTAAGAATTTGTTAAACCAACAACGAAGGCTAAAGAGATGCAATGGCAGTTAACGGCTAGCGGACGTGGAAATCGCGGACGTGGTAACCGTGGCTAGTGGTCGCTTGTCATCGCACTAAGTCAATCGAAGCGGAAGATTCGATTGTTACTGGCTCATTAAATGATCCTCTTTCTTTTTCTCTACTTGTAATCTTTTTGATTACAAAACTGTATGACTATGGTCATGGCATTTTCTAATAATAATAATTTAAAAAAAAAAAAAAAAAAAAAAAATCTTCTAAGAAGTACACACATTTATCTTCATAAGCTGATTGATATTACATATATAGCTAGTTGAACAGTTTTAGTAAAGAACAGAAGCAAAAAGTGTTACAAATCTAAGTGATTAGTTTTTAAAATCAAAAGCAGGAATGGTGAGTTAGCAAAAAGGCTATTAGGAGCTATTGGTGAAATTGTAACAGTTTACTTGACATACAAACTACTTATCAAAGACCAGACAGGTAACATGGCAATATGTTTCAGACAGACACACATCTTTGTCATCTTCATTCATACATCACTTCCTACAAAGCTTATCAACAAGAAACGCTGATTTATAATCACACAAAAACCTCTTCTTCTGCTTCTTCTCTCTCAGAAGTCAGAACTCTTGCAATTATTGTATCTAACTAGATTGTATTTTACGATGATTACATCGTCTATATTATCTTTACATTATCTTCGACTCAATCGTAACTCTCCTCTGATCTGGCTTCACCATCTCTTCTTCTGTCATATAACAAAAGAAAAAGAAAAAAAAAACATTTGAATATGTTAACAAGCAGCCTTCACCAACTTTCGACTAGACATGTCACTGGTTGAGGATTGGACTTAAATTGTTACTTAGTAGTACTATGTTTAAGAACTATTAAACAAGTTCCATTTTTTTTGTTTCCATAACATGATTGGGGCAATCATTGTAAAATACCTGGTTGAGAAGAAAAGGCTCTTTCACGGCTAAGTCCATTTCGTTGTCCTTCCAAGATTACCAATGGTCGTTTTGGAGAGTTGATCCTTGCGTTATGCAATGTCTTCTCTGCGATATCTGACCGGAGATTCATACAGTTATTGGTATCTTCCTTCATGGCTGTACTACTCGTTGATAATTCCATCGTTACCACGTTTTTGATTTGCACTTTCCCTGCTTTCAAATCAACTATCTTAGGCCCAATGCAGAATCTATCTTGATAGTCTTAATTCAAATCAGTAATCAAATTCACCACCTAACTTTATACACTAACGCTACGGTTGTAATTCATCAGTATCACAGAGCGAAGAAGATTCTTAGGGTTAAAAAAAGATCTCACCTTTAAGCGAAGAAGCAAGCGTTGGAGGTGAGATCATCGGCCCGTACATATGACAATCAGATTTCAGATATTCCTTCACTTTCTCCGACATTCTTCCCTTCTTCTTGATCACACTCTCGTTCCCTAATGCATCTAATCCAACAAAATATGAGTGTTGTAATCCACGAATTGAATTTAGGGAACTTAATCCTACTATCGAAAACTATTACACGTGTCATAACATTACCTGCTGCTAAAGATAAGTCATCCGTTTGTATCTGCGGCTCGAGCGATGGAGAAGTGGAAAGCAGAGGAGCGAAAAAGTAATCATCGGATTTGAGGTAAGCTACAATACTACTCCTCACAAGTTTACTGTTCTTCGTCTTGAGTTTCTTCTTTCGCGCGCCCAGTGAAATTTTCTTCTCTCCTTTCATATTGATTCAAATATTCAATATTCAAGCTCTTGAGCTTCGGCAGAACGAACCAGGAGGACCGACGGAGAAGAAGATGAAGAGGTTTTGGAGGAATGGTTTAGACGCCGTCTGGTGGTCACACGCGTCGCCATGGTCTCACGGCAGTGTGACAGAAAGGCGCGAATGGAAGTGCCACGTGTCATGCCTAACGAACCTGTACCGAACTCTGTGGACTAAACAGAGAGTTTCGGTCTTTATGGGCCTACTCTAGCCCATATTATTTAATTGGGTATATTGTTGAGTTATTAAGCCTGTTATTGGGGTTATTCAATTCCAAACCTCTCTTGATTTTTATTTTATCGTGAAACCAAATTTCAAGTCCACGAACAAAAATAATGCCATACGTATTTAGAAACTTTTGTGATAAAAAAAAAAAAAACGTATTTAGAAACTTTTCTTTTGACTGTAACATGTTGAAGTGTTCTAAAAGTCAAAGTCAAAATATAAAAAAAAAACACTTTTATTTTGATCTTAAGATATTTTTTTAAGAATTGTATTTTCTAGCTTATTATAGTTAAAATAAAAACGAGATATTTTTGATCCGATCTTATATAAAATACTCCCTCCGTTTCAGAATATATGATGTTTTAAGTTTTCTTTTTATTTCATAATATATGATGTTTTAGAGTTTTTAAGGTACTTTTGTTAATTAATGCTAAAAAGTTACAGATTTCAATGACTATTAATTAAAAGTAATTGGATTCTTGAATTTCTATTGGTTAATATTTAGTAAAAAGTGGATTATGTAAGAGAAAGATGCATTAATTGTTAAACAATAAATATTTCTTAATTTGTGTAAAAACTCTAAAACATCATACATTCTGAAATAGAGGGAGTAAAAAATAAAGATTTTATTTATTTTTTTGGTAAAAAATCAAGATTTTCTTGCCAGGTGTTAATGATTGCTTTTGGATCAACTAAAATTTTTGGTCGTTTTCATTAAACCCAAACTCGTTACCCACTAGCTCACAGCTCAACATGTCCGACCGATCTGGTCCATATTTTAAATCACAGTTATTACAAATTGATTTGGATTTAAAACCTGTGAACCTTGAACTCATAAAGCATACACAATAAATAAGTTGTATGTGTGTGATCTACATAAATATATGCGTGAAACAAAAACTATATTATTATTACTATAAACCAAAGTTCTTTTATTTTTAAATGACATACACTTTTCATATTGTTAAAACTGAAAAGTTTAAAGTAAGGTGCTAAGTATCTAGGACGATATTGTATCTACTTTAAATGAAAGTGGATTTTACACATACTTATGTATTAATTGCAAGAGCAAGCAGAGACGCAAAAGTAGGCAAATGGACAAAAGGGGATGTGTGTATGTTGGATTGTTTTTGTTGAGTCCAAATCAGAACGATTTTGAAATGGCCCATTCATCTTATATGCGCCACCACTTGCCACCCCTTCAAAGTCTCTCCTTCCAGTTTCTACCATTTCTTTTTTCTGTTAAAACTCTTCCAATTTGTTTATAACTTTTTTTCCGTATATAACAGGTCACCGTTTGAAGTATGAAATATAAAGTGAGGTTTTTAGTTTTATACACAGGTCATCGTTCCAAGAGGAAGTCATTTGTTTAGAAATGTATTACATAGTGTACCAAATTTACGGAAGAATACGTACGTTCACATGCATTTTTTTTTGACAACACGTACGTACACATTTACTAACGTGGATAATATTTAATATGTATATAGAAATCCACGTGGGAAATCTAGGCGGTCATATTTTCAACAACAAGGCTCGATGTGACTTTGTAAGTCACAATCCCCATCAAATAAAAACGGCAGATAGTAGTTGCTAGTTGGGGAGCTCGAAACTCATAGGCTCCATTCTTCTTCTCCTAATTCCTCATTTAAGGGATGCATGTACTTTTCTTTCTTTTTTAACTACTATTTTTGGTTCCAAATGTTAATGTCAAGGCTAACGCTTAACGCAAACACTTAATTACACAAGACACATTGAGTCATCGGTCTTCTCCCATTGATTAGAGTTTGCTTCTTTTTTTTTTTCTTTCTCACGATTATAGCTTGCTTTATTGAGTTTCGTTTGCTTCCTTTGCATGCACCACGCAAAATATCAAACATAATTATACAAGAATTTGAATTATTAGTTATTAGATTTTAAATCTCAAGGCTAACACGAATGCTTACATAAGACACATTGAGTCACTGGTCTTCTCCCATTGTTTAGAGTTTGCTTCTTGTTTTTTTTTGTCACGTTGGAGGTCGCTTCACTGAGTTTCGTTTGCTTCCTTCGCATGTAGCATGCAAAACGTAAAACATTTATCCCTTTATACAGACATCTGGTGGTAATTCTCTTTTTTTTTGTCTGTTAAAGCTTGTCCGTAAATCTCTCGGTCCGACATAAGTACATAACACTCTACTTATTTCTGCACGTTTTCATAACCGGTTAACCAACAATTACACAAAGATTTGTTTGTCTATTTTAGAATTTATGCAAAAGAATAACGAAACAAATAATTGGTCGGGGCTAATCGCCTCATGAGTAATTTAGTCACTATATATGGCATCGTCTTTTTAAAAAATTATATTCGAAATTGGTTATGAAGTCAATAAGAAAAACAAACCAAAGATAAGGAGAGGCACCATACTTTTCGTGCCAATCACAAACAGGTTATAAATTCAATGTGTGTGGGGCCAAAAATATTTATCATATGACGTTTTTTGTCATCCAGACGAATATGATCACACTTATCTATTTTAATATGAATCCACATTCTGAAAATATAAAGTTTCGAGTTGAAGATAAACTATTTCTGATTTTGTTAAGTGTCAATTTAAACATATTTATGAGGAAACCAACCCCATATATACTATTTTTACGTGTGGACATGAGGATTCAATTTCAATGTATTCAAAAGTTCAAAACTGTTATCAATCGGTAAGATAAAGGATAAGAATATTTGACACCGATCATCGATACTAGTACTACATAACTATGTTTTCAGATTTAAAGAAGAGACATATGATTGTTGACAACGGGAAAAAAAAATAATATGATTGACGTAGAGAAAGATATTCTCAATATAATGATTTACTTTATTTCGTTATACGTATGAGGAAACTACGCTCATATATACTTCTCTCTGTCTGTGGTTTCATTTTTATAAATTTTGAGATCTGTTAGTAACATGTACTTAGAAGACAAATAATTGGCGTTAATCATTGATGTAATTAAATGAAGATGGTATTTAAAGTTTAAACAGAAATTATCGACGCGAATTAAAAAAACCGAACAACAATTGAAAATAGTTAAGAAATGACTTCACTACGGTTAGTCATATAAACAATAAATTAAACCAAGTGGGAATAGAAAAGGGATTTGTTGTCTCTTAGGTTAGGCTAATCGCTAATGTACATAGGAATATGGATGTTGGGTGATTTTGCAATCGACTCGAACCGACTAATAAATGTGATTTAATATTATAATCGTGTTTCGTCAATGTGTAGGTGACATATTTTGTTCTTTTTCAAAATGATTTTAAGACCAATGTAGAAAAAGAAAAAAACAGTTTGAGGCTACGAAAAAGTTAGTACTATATGAATTGACGTGTATATTCCTAACCAACTAAATAAAAGTCGCTCAAGTCGAAATCTGGGCTGGCTAACTAACCTTATACAGTATAGAGTATACAAATTGATTGCAAATGTACCTCTGCTCTTTTATTTTGCTTATTTGGAATAGTAGAATCCAATTTGTACATTGTTGGTCTGCTTACATTATCATCAATCATAATATATATAAATAAAGTAACATACTATAAACGATTATCAAATCTTGCATCCACAATTTTCAAGTATTTAGCTATAAAATTTGCATAATCCAGCGGTCAAGCGAATTAAAATCAAAAGAGTATCGCCGATCGAAAAGATAAACCGATCGAAGCAAACCACAATACGGACCAGCCAATCGATCACAAGATTCAACTAATAGCTTTGTTTGCCAACACTTACCCTTAAATCTTGATCAGGAAAACCAAAAAATACTCTAACATACGTAACCGCAGTGAACAAATAACCGATGGCTAAAACTCATACCACGCTGGAACGTATGGGCCAGGGCACACTCTGACGCACAAATCACGATACATAGGTACATGAGATTATGGAGGATGGCTAAAGTTGAAACCTTTGTATGTTTTGCAATAAATTGCATATTTTGATAGTCAAACCTTATACTTGATACTAGAACATTAATTCCACACCATACAAATGTTTTAGGTTTAGCAAAATTGTATACTTTATCAACATATCTTTCTGATTATTCCTAGACTTAAAGAAAACAAATATTTTATTATTACTATATATGTGTGTTAACAAAGTTATTTAAAAACAAATTTGCGTGAAATCTAAAATAAAGTTTGAAAGGTGTTATTTTAGGGGGTTTTTCCTCCTGTTTTGAGTTATGTTCCTCCTGTTATGAGTTATGACCTTTCTCTTTTATCAATTGGAGTTTGTTGTGAATCTTGTGATATGATATCAATTAAGAGCCGGCCAAAATCTACTTGATGTCCAAAAAACGAAGATCCACAAGATGGTACGTATCTTTTTATTGGTTTCACCCATATCTCCAATTTTACCAAATGTACTCTCCTGCTTTGGGGGTTTACACACCTGTTTTTTTGTAACTTGTGTGGTTTTGTAGAAAAGCCTAAACTTACAACAACAACAACAACAAAAGTTTAAATTAAGCACGTTCAAATATGTTCTTTCGAGATTCCATCTTCCTGTCTATCCCAGTAAAATACATGTGCTCGTTGTGTGTTTCAACAGATTCAACAAACTCATATATGCATAATTTAATTATGCATGCATCATAAATACACTATTGGGTATTGACCACTACAGAACATTTCTTTTTTAAATGATACTTATTTATAATATATATATATTTTTTTTTTCATATAAATACAACTCCAT